TGGAGATCGTGTAAACTGATACATACATACATACATACATATGGATATATATATATATTCATATATATATATATATATAAGTAGCCTTGTGCGGCTTCCTGGAGCTCTGCCGTGCGTCTTGCTGTACTTGTCTTACGCTCAAGATGATTCAGACCAGGACGGTAGGCATTTGGAGCTGAAAAGCAAACCGGTGACGATGCTGCAGGTGGGCCGTCGCCCCGCACGGAGAAAGCACCGGGACAACGCTGCGCTTGCAGCGCGCTGCTTATGTCATTTTTCCATATGTGGGTGACTGTGGGTGTTTTGCGGTAGCGTGTCTTCACTTCACGTATCGTGCCTACATCCTTGCCAAGCGGCCAAGCGGCTTCTCAACCCAGCCAGGCAGAAGCATGCAGAAGAGAGCGAATAGATTTTGTTTCTTAATGACGGTTTGAGGTGTGGTGGGTGTGTGTGTGCGGGCGCCGCACGCATGTCTATCCGTCAGCAGCACCTCGCAAAGGTCAGTACATCCATGCCTCACATCAGGGTATGGGCAAGAAGGACAAGCAGGAGCAGCTGCTTTTCCAGTGCTTCTTGTCTGGGCGTAGCTGGGTCTTAGGCGAGACTAGACTTGAGCAGGCCAAAAGCTCGCAGGGAGAAAGCCTGGCCGCCGCAGGCTCCACATGGCATTAGGGCTCTGGGATCAAAAAAATCCTTCGCCAATCGGAAGGCGAGGCGCAGGAGGTGCGCCAGGCACTGTCTGCTCTCGGAGAGCCTGGAGCCTGGTGGGGATAGCATAGTGCCAGCAGTTTTGAGTCTAAGAGTCTAGGTATGACCTGCTGCACACCTTCGTGGCAGTGATGCGTGGATCTCAGCCCCCGAGTCCGCTCAGCAGCATGCGACGCTTGACGATCTTGACGCAGCCTCAAGCGCAATTTTGAGGTCCGGTGGGTTGAATATGGCGAAGTCAGTGGGGACCTCGGTGCTGTCGGACTGGGCCAGTCAGCCCCGCTCAGCTCGTCCGATGTGTCAAAGTCCAAATCGAGCTCCGAATGAAGCCGTTTGACACAAGCCACAGCATTCTACCTTTTTCGCGCGATCAAGCTCGTGGAAATCAGACTAGCCAGACTGCACTGAAAACGATCCAACTTCATACGGTGTGCTAAGACGGCCGCACAAGCTACCCGCTCGCTTCTCGATTGTCCCTTGAGGTTTTGCGCCTTCACTTCAGCAGCTCGACTACACAATCACGCCTTCCGATTCCATGACAGTTGGCATCACGGCAAATCTGAGGCATAGATCCGGGTGCATACCAGAACTTGCCCGAACCCGCGTGCAAGCAGTGGGAGGTTGGCCTGATGTGCTCCAGCAGCGATTGGCGGTAGTTGGCTCTGGGGAGGCGATCACGTATGCAGCTGAGGCCCTGGTATCGTGAGTTTCATCGGACGGACATGCCAAGTGCCTACCGGGGTCGCTGCCTGTCAGAGCCCTTCTGCGACGAGTGCTTTCACAGAGCGCGGGGCTGCCAGGCACTCACGCTGCCGGCACGGCATGCTCCTGGCTAGAATCTTGCGAGGCCCCCCCGTTGTTGTAACCCGAGGACTGCGCTTGAGACGAACCTGTTTCAGAAGATGTGTTCAGGTATGTTGGGCGACGGGCTGACGAGTGGACTACACGAAGAATCGCTGGACATTCTTCGTTTGCCACTCCCAATGCGAGGGCCTCAAGGACACGCCAGGGGCGTAATGTTGAGCACCATTCATCGATCCGAGGGCTCCCGCTGCTGCTTCAGACACCGGGACGTTGCAACCCCGTCAGGCGGGACGTGAAACCCGCAGCAACCTTCTTTCGACGCAGGGTCTTGCCTCCTCCCACGTAGCGTGAGGCGTCGCGCACGCCCGGACATGTGCATCCCGGCCGCACTGAGGGCGCCTTCCGGGCTGGTCCCCGAAACTGAAATCTTCACTTGACACGACCTGCCGAGCCTTGCAGCTTCCAGAGCCGTTCTTCTCAATCTCGTGTGAGTGGCTTGAAGAAAAGGGTCCCGGGGCAGATTCGTAAATCCTTTGCATGTAGCTTCCGATCTGGAGCCCAAGCGATTGACTTCGATCTCGACCAGGCAGACAGTCCCTCTATCGGTCGCAATGAGGCGTGACTTGCTTGGAGGATGTGTGGATGCGTTGGGCAGTTGTCCAGGAGCGGACTCGAGTTGCAAGTATCGCAATGTCGTAGCATGTCGACTCTGCCTCTATCGGCTCTGCCCAGCCCCGCCTGCCCGAAGCTCCTTCGATAGCAGGCAGAGTGCGGGTCAAAGCACAGCAACGGTCAACCCTGTAGTGGCGTTGCCGAGAGGCGTGGAGGCTCCGATGCCGAGGATGCGGTGCCGCCCCCTTCTGGCCGCGTGTGCGGCCGCGGTTCTCGCATATCACAGTTACACAGCTGCATTGCTGAGAAGAGGTGGGAGTTGAGTTGCTTCGCCTGCCCGGACCTGCCCAGGCGGGCTCGTGGGCTTCGTCGCCGGAAGCATCTTCCCGGAGAGCAGAATTTCTGGGCGGTCTGAGTTGGTGCGGATGCAGGCGCTCAAAAGACTGTCGTGGCTTGGAAGCACCTTGGGGAACACCTCCCAACCCCTTCTGGCATGCAGCGATGACGCTTTAGCTGTTTGTATGTGCCTTTGTGCTTTGCAATATATGCACGAGGGTGTAAAAGGGAGTGCAGTGCATGATAGAAGTTGTGAGTTGAAGTGGCCCGGTCTCCAACTGAGGAAGAAAGAGAAAATCATGAAAAACGTGGCCAATGCGAAAAAAAACCCAAGAAGCTTGTCAAAGAGACTTGTCGCCAAGCAAATGCGGAAGGTCGACATCTCAGTTGTGAATGTCAAGCGATGCCGTCGTGCTCGTGCCGGTATATGGTCCAACAGCTGAGGTCAACAGCATCGCGAAGGACGATGACTGGGTTAACGAGTTTCTTTCCTACTCACGGCCACAGCCTGTAGGTGGTGAGTACGTGATGCCGCCCGAGGTGGCCAAAGCAGCACTAGAAGAAATCTACGGAGAAGGTCCTGACCTGCAGAACATCGACCTGGATGAGCTGGAGGAGGACGAGGATGAGGGCCCCTATGCCTATGCCAGCCAGCGGCCATATAATGCGAAGGAAGCTCGATCGGAAATCCACGAGATGGAACGCATGCGCAGGAAAGCAGACCCTTCCAAATCACCAGGCAAGACCCGACGGAAAGCCAGAGTAAGATGGAACATGGTGCCGGGAATTCAGAAGTACGTTGGAGTCGTGCCACGCAGCATTGCGACTGGCACAACTGGGACAATGAGCAGCAGCTCCTACAGATCCCATCAAGATGTCTGGATCAGTGGGGGCTCTGTTCAGTATGACTACGAAGACAAGCCCTGGTAGATGGGAAGCAGGCTCCCACGTCCGATGCCAGCTAGCTGTACAGTCGGCGCTGGGCAACCCGTGCGCAGTCGAATGGCACAAAAGCAGAGTCCTTCGAGCCCTCCGTAGCAATTCGACATTTCCAGTTGCATCCGCCTTCGTAGATCTTGGAATGTCGTCATGACAGGAGCCACAGCTTTCTCCGAAGTCAGTCTCAGGACACTGCAGCTTCACGCCTTAGCAGCTGCACCACAGGTTAGCCCTAGCAGTGGCAAAGAAGGTCAGGTATTGCGCTTGCTGGGTTGCACGGTTGGCAGATCAGGTGAACCCAAAATTCCGATTACATTCCATTTCTCATCGCAGGTTTTAGACTGAAGCAGTCGTTTGCATCGGGGTATTCAGGTCTTTTAATCCCCCTGGATCTGAAATCACAGCTCTGTGCAGTAGTGGAAGAAGGCAGTTTTTGCTGTTAGGTGTCTTGGAAGGTCTCTGTGGCACAGAACAGACACCGAGAGGACTCCGTAATCAGCAACGAAGACAAGCCGGAGAAGTCAGCTGATGACACGAGATCAGGTGCCAGCAGCACCGAGAGATAGAGGTAGAAATGACTTGCCATGCAGAACGGCACATTGCCTCATGTCTGGCCAGCCTTCGAGGCTCGAAAGCGCCACCCAAAAGGTTCTTGAACAACGTACAGGCCTGGCTCAGAGCCCTCTCGGAAGGCGAGAATTCAGTCGGCACGTTTCGGCTTTTGTCAGGTCTGCTGTGCTTTGGTCGGCTGTGAGTCACCACTTGGCTTGAAGCATCATTTCGAGGCCGACTCGAATCAGAAAGCTTCGACCGGTGTCGTCGGGTTCTGGGCAGGTCTTCAATCAGTGGTGTCACAGCGCGCACCTGCTGCCCTTTGTAAAGTCTGCAGCTCGGAAGCTTCGGTCGCAGTTTGATAGGCTCGCCTTAGGTGCTCCTTATTGTACCTTACAGTCTGTATACTAATTAAAAATGCACACATGCACATATACATACAGAGAGTGAGAGAGATATACAAATAAAATAAAGATACCTACATCCCCAAAAAGTCCACTTCGGCTCCGGAGGCGCTGCTATCGGCGCTGTGGCATCGCAGGCTTGGCCGCAGGTCAACATGTGGGTCATCACAAGAAGGCCGCCGGAGGGGCGGAGGGGGTGCCCGTCATGTCTTAGTCACATCAAGCAGAGGGTCTTTCTTGCCCGAGTCTGTGTCGTGTTGTAGATAATGATATGTAGCCCCTTGTGCTAAACAGCTGCAGGGGGGGAGAGGAACCTTGCGCAGCTCTGCACAAGGAAGCTCTCTGGGCTGATCACACTGACCCACCTGCAACGAAAAGGTGGACAGGATCCAGTACACAAAAAGGTGTTTGCGGCAGTCTGATTCCTTCATATTATTCGTCGTGTGGTCCTGCCTGTGGCTGGTCGTGCTTGACTTAACCTTGCTGAGTAAAAGCGTGTCCGTGTGAGTTTTTTCTCCGCTTTGAGGGCGCGAATCCCTTCTACCCGCTGGTCTTGCCGACGGCAGAGCTCCCAGAGAATGGTGTTGATTTCCGACGACTTTTCGTCCATCTGAGAGCTCAGCAGGTCCCGACTGTGTGTCCCAAGCTGAGTTTACTTGAGTGCGGACTTGCACGGAGCATATTTCTCTATACCTCTCTCCCTGTGCTCTGACAGATGGAACGGATACATTTGCGGACTGCAGCAGGGAATTCGAACATAGGCAGGTGGAGGCTCGCTCCAGCACGCTCATCCGCAAGCAGCTCCACTGCCCTCCTTGGTCCGGTAAGCCAGCGGCAGTGCAGCTTCTGCCGGGTTGGATGTTCCAGCCAAGCAGTCGAAGCACAAAGCCAGAGCAGCAGACAGTTGCGCAAAGTGCAGAGCCTGAGGTTATGGCCACTGCTACCCGCTCCACAAAGTGTTCCAATACTTCTATGCTGGCACGGAGAAGATTCTATGCAGCATTGACGACTCCAAGGACTTCCCCACCACCTCTTGCCTGTGCCAAAACGGGTTGTGGCGGGAGTTTGAGAGGCAGTGGAAGCAGACCGTGCAACTTGGGGACTTGCACCTGGCCAGGGCCTCGGATGTCTTTGAGGCATGATGCCCCTGTAGCCCATGATGGACAGAAGTGCGCACGCGTTTGGCTGTTCCGCGTGAGAGTCTCAACTCACTTTTGGACAATGGTGGTGCAGATTGCAATGTGCATGGAGGGCCCAGAATGACCAACCCACACATGCCCTGCTTGGTAGCATTGTGTGCATGCGTGGTCTGTGCACCTTGCTTCTGGGTTTCGCAAGTGTTGTGGGCCTCACTGCTATCCTGCTTGGTCGTCGCTTGCCCGCCTCGCCTCTTTGCGCCTTGCCGCTATGCTGTTCGCCAGTCTGAGCTCCAAGTGGTTCCAAGCGGAGGGACGACGAGCCAGAAGGGCGGCACCTTAGACACGAGGCGGCAGGCAGTGCTCAATCGGTCGATCAGGTCGAAGTAGTGCGACTGGGTGACCATGCGAAGGCATTAAGTACTCGGAGCCGACGTGCAGTCTGGCTTTTCCTATATTATATTGGAAGGGGGTGCTGCATGATGATGCTCCACGTCTGCGCTGCCCACCAGATATTGCTGGAGTTGACATGCGGCAACCTCCCTCAAGTCTTACCCAGAGGTGTTCGCTTTGTTAGCTCAAGTCCTGTCACGAGCATTACAGAGCGGCGTTTCAACTTTCGTGGTGTAGATGCCCGAAAGGAAGAGCTGAGCTTAGTGTGAGTTGCTTTCGTTTCGGCCACGGTGTGCGCGTGCTCCCAGGCCAGGACAGATTGAACAACCAGTGCTGGTTCAAGGCAGGGGCAGCCTGACTGAGATTCTGCCATCTTCAGACATTGCCTGGACGTGTCGGAGTGTCCATTTGCCATGAAGCGGCTGCAGCCGTGCAGCTCAACAGAGCCTACGGTGTTGCATCCATGTCCTTCTTTTCCAAGAAGATCAGGGAAGGAACCTCCACGGTGCTTTCCGCAGGTGACATGAACAAGACGCTTTCAGAATGGCAGAAGACGCGGGCGGAAGGGCTAACCGAGAGGAAAAGGGATGTAGAAAAGCAGTTGCTGGAGAGCTTGGAACATCTTGTAAAATGGTGCCATTCTTGACGAGGAGACGAACGTAGGAACCCGCTTCGAGGAGCAGAGAGATACTCTGCCCCAGAAGTGGCGGAGAAGATGCACTGGACATGCACAGTAACTCAACCAGGCACAAATTTAAATTTAGTCAGCTGTACAAAGTCGTATTAGCGGAACACACAGCGTGCAGATGCCCTCAGACCACAGAGATTGCGTAACGCAGCAGCATCCTGCAACGGCACACCTGCACGGCGCGCAAGGGACTCTTCAAGGACTAGGACACTCGACGTCTGAGTATGTGCGCCTTTGAGCAGGTGGCTGACGATCACGACCTCTCTCGAGATGACTCGCCAGTGACCCGAATTCGCTTGTAAGCATTACCAGCCGAGTTGAAGTCTCAGCTGTGTGGCGACGGTGCATGGCACCGGTTCCGCTCCGTCTGGGGGTGTCAGATGAACCGTCAATCTCTCTTGAACCCCATCGGATCAAAGCAGTGTCGGCGAGACGCTGCATGCTCTCAGGCCGACGACTAAGCCGTCACCAGCCAAGCAGATGCGCATGCTGCTAACGGCAGGCGGGGGTTTGTATTGCACGACATTGCACGAGGGATGGGGCCGAGCAGCTCGCAAACACTGGAGAAAGCGCGTGGGGCTGACTGCTTGTGAGTTTCGAAGAGTGAAGAGTGACTTGCTGCAGGAGGTCCCGGAACGCCACCAGGCAGCAGACAGGTTGATATGATATATATATATATATATACACGTACATGCGTACAGAAATTCATACAGACAGACATGCGTACAGGCGTTTTCAAAGTAGAGTGCTGCCACATGTACTCATACAAATAATCTCACGCCGCTGTGACACCTTGCCCGGGGGGAACGACGTTTTTGAACTTGAGTTTTCTGTCCTATGCGAGTTGTGTTCTTTTTCTGATGTCCCAGGCTCCTCCGAATGAGGGTTTGTATCGTACTTTCTCGTCGGCCAGGTATCGCGGACTAGTTGTAGGGGCATAGTTGTTGCATGCCTTACTGTATCAAGCTCCTCGTTGTTTTCCGTACCTACTCACTGCCGACACCATGTCAACTACGTTTCATTTCGAGCACGGGATATACCGCGCTACAGATGCGGTGTGTCCGGAGCGATGCTGCTGCAGACCGAAACAGAGGGACTTACAAACCGTTTCTTGGTCTGACTCTGAATACGCAAAAGGTCCCCCTGCTCTCGTAGCTGGGTTACTTCCTCGGCAACCGCGCGATGTATTGTTGCTGTACTTGTTGCGATGTATGGCAAGAGTTCTTGCTTTCACTCGTGGTTGCCCTTTCAACCGGGCAAGTAGTTCGGCATCTTCATTGGTGTCCATGCATGCTCCTGTCCGCTGGGGGAACACGTACCATGACCTACTTCCAGGGTTCATGCTGTTTCGGTGTTGCTTGTTGGTACTGCTGAGTCTCGCGTTTTAACACTGTGGGGCCCAAAGGGCCGGGGGGCTTGACATGCCCCCGAAGGAAGAAGAGAGCAATGCCGACACACACAGACGCGCGCCTCAGCGGTAGGCCCTCGGGCCAGGGCTCCTTAGCGAGCTGAGACCCCAAGCAAGCAAGCAAGCAATGCAAGCTTGCAGAGAAACTTCGTGGTCTGAGCGTGTCTTGCAACCCTGCCTTGATGGGCCCTTCCACCACAAGCCCAGCCGGACCACATGGGGGATGTGTGCTACAAGCACAAGGTTGCCACGGGCAGCTTACGTACCAGCGTGGGACGACCGTGTGACCTGCGCAACAAGGTGGACGACGACGCCGCCCACGACACACTGTCCAAAGGGCCCGGGGGAGAAGACATGCCACACGCCAACAAAGGCAAAGGGAAGAGCAGACCACTGTCCGACTGTGTCAGATTTGAATCAGAACAAGCTGCGGCACTCCAAAACGACCTGAGCCCAATGGACAAATGGATCGGAACGACAAGATAGCAGGACGGGGGAGTATGTCAACCTCGTGGAGACCTTGGACGCGGAGGACACCGACGATTACAAGTGCTACATACAGAGGCGCAATGATCGACGAGACGCAGGTCGACGAGCAGACCGGCTTCATGCTATGGTCGGGGAACATAACCCACGCATTGAGGAAGAGCTTCTCTTCTATGTGGGGAAGCACCCATGGAAAGTGGGTTGCCTTTCAGTTGAGCCAGAAAAGTCTTCAAGAAGGCCATAGAAGAAGCAGACTGAAAAGCGGAGGATAGAGCGAAGATGCAGACCCAAGCGGGAGAGAAAATGTGCAACAGTCCAGGACCACAGGAACAGGAGCCGAGGGCGACGCGACCAGCACGTGCCGAGAAGTGAAAGGGGAGCATATGGTGGGAGAGCATAATTTGTGCACGTTTTTTTGATGTATGGTGTTTGGTGTGAAATCTTTAATGGCGGGGGAAACCTTGCCCGCTCAGGTAAACCTCTTTCCAAACCCGGCCCGGTCCTGGCCGCCAATCATAGAATCTTTTCGACACATCGCCGATGTAAATCACTCCGATGACATATTCACCTCGTTCGTTTCAATTGCAACTGACATTACTCGCTCGAAACAGCGAAGACGATACCGAGTAGTTTCGGAAGGGTTTGGGTGTAGGACGCAACGGCACACCGACCGCTGTTGCCGTTGGCTCGCAGCGGTCGGTTGCGTTTCGCTTGTGACTTTCGTGGTGCTGTCCGTTCGTTCGCGTCGTCGTCCGTCCGGTGGTGCCACTGTTCTGTTAGGTGCTTCCGACCGCAGCCGCGAGCCATGGCTTCGAGCTCTGAGAGATCGCATTCTCCACCGCCTGGCGAAGAACAAAAAAAGACACGGGAACTGACTGATACATATGCGCACGCACACAAACAAGCAGATGCAAAGATCATGGACATAGATTTGCACGTACACATGTATGTCGTAATGTTTGGGGAAAGGACAAGACGCCTTTTGTTGATTGGAACAATTCGGAGCCCTTGTAAGTCCGATGAGTCCTGTTGAAAAGTATGTGGAGTTGTCACCGTCGTTTTTTGTTTCTGCTTGGATTGGGGTGATTGCACATGAGCCAGCAGATGCACACACACACACATATATATATATATATTATATATATGTACACAGAGAGAGAGAGAGAGAGAGAGACGGCTAGGGGGGCTTCCCTCTGGCCCACAGCCCCGGCGAAAGAAAAGAGACGGCGCGCGGGCAAGGGGGTTCACCCCTTGCCCTTAACCCTGCAGAAAGAAAAGAGAGAGGCAACGGGGGCATTTTGGCTCAAGGTGTCTTCATCCTGGACAACATCGACCTGGTCCACGCGTGCTCGAAGGGGGGAAGGGAGGGACAGGTGCCCGGACCTGTCCCGCTTGGGGCCTGAAGCCCCTTCCTCTTCTCACGTAACAACTAAAGCCTAGTCTGACGCAATCCGAGCTGCCCTACCTCCTTGAGCCCCTACATCCTTGCACAGATTCTGGGGGAAGCAAGATCTACACCGTAGTTGCCCGACTCCCCACTGCTACAAAGTCTTACTTCGCGGGGAACTCAAATCTGCACGGGGGCCCGACCTAAGAGTACCTGTGCGCTGGGCGGGGGAGATTGCCAACCTCGAGTTCGTGAAAGTGGCAAGGAGACCAAGGGGAAGGAGTGTGAGCTGGACTACCACATCAGAGCGAGTCCTCAGCCTGGGAGAAAACGATGGACCGAAAACGCTGACGACCACAGGGAAGACTTACCTTTATGGGGGAGCCCGACTACTGAGAGCCTGTTTCTGTGAGACCAGCAGCCAAGTTCTCTAAAGTCGTGTTGACGTTCGCTGTCCTACCGGGGAATGTTCCTACTTCTGTTTGGGCCCTGGTTTACGCAGTTGTGCCTGGTCTTGATGCTGATTGTTTGCAGCTTAAGTTGTATTGGGGGGACTCCACAAGTTGGCACAGTTGTTTTCCTTTTGGCGTGGGGTGTGCACACCCACGTGCCCTAATCCAGACGGGCCGCTGAGCCATCCAGATCCGAACCGTACCGGGGCCTGAGCCCCTTTTTTTTAACACTTAAAAGACGCGCCGCTAGAGCCTTCCAACTCCGATACACACTTGCCGTGCCCGGGTGGCTGCATTGAGTGTCTTCCGTTCCAAAGCAGGGCGTTTGCCTTAGAAGGTAACTTAGGATGCCGCAGGAGCGACCATGTGAACCTCCCCCATGTCTGTACTGCTCCGGTCTTCAAGTGGCACATGCGAACATCCTTTTAATTGCTTCCTTTCAGCCAGGGGACCTTCTGCTGTTTTGAGACCACTGCTTTCATCTGCTTGTTCAGGTTCCCTTGACTTCAGTAGGTTCCACGGGGCTGCTTGATTGAAGGTGTGGGTCTCTAGTTCTTTGTGAACCCGGGGGTATCTGACTAGCAGAAACAGCAGAGGGCAGTGTCCCGATTTCCAGCCGCTCGCTTGAGAAGTAACACACGTTTTCGGCATGTACTTCCCTTGTGTCCTTGTTTTGCTTCAGCTTTGGTCAACCCCTACCAGCTTCCTGAGCGTGCTGAACAACACCACCCTGGGAAAACCCCAGTCCAGCTCATAGCCTGCACCGTCTGCTGTTCCTAGGGATGTTGCCTTTGTTGCACTGCATTTGTGTACTACTTTGTTGAACTGTTAACAGAGCCGCCTCGGTGTTACATGCATGTAATCATACTTCTCGCCCCGTACCATACGGGGGCGCTGATGCGCGCGGGCAGAGGGCAACCTCTGCCCACAGCCCTGGCGAAAGAAAGGCAACGGGGGAGGGCAAAGACGATGATCACCACAGTTGTGTATCTACTCTGCATTCGAAGTGTACTTTGTTTTCGAGCAGTGGGGAATCTCTTCAAGTGGCACTGTAAAGCCGAGCCTGCCGGGGAAAACAACCGGCAGGAGTTTTGAAAACCCCGCCAGGACACGTGGGTGCGCGTACGGGAGGGTTGGCGCCCGCCTGCCCTTCCATGCCCGGTAGAGAGAGCGAGAGAGAGAGAGACGTGTACATGGACACGTGTGCATGTCGTTTTTTGGTGTGCGTTTATATGTGGAGTCCTCTTCAAGGTCTGAGCCCAACGACCCTTTGGGCCGGCCCACCAGTGCTCTGCGTGATGCTGGGTTGCAATGATGGAGTCGAGGGACCAGGAAAAGCTTGGTTGCGTCGGCCAAACAACGCGGTGTCCCTGTAGTAAAGACCCAGAACACCGCCCCACAATCGTAGTCAGTCTGTACTTGTAGCAAAGCTGATTGTTTGGCATCGTCAGGGCCAATGTGGGTCTCGCGCCTGAAACTGACTAGGCTTCCTAGGGAAACGAACATGAAGAGTTCGCTGAGACAGCCTTTAGAACCTAGCGGTTGCGAATCAAAAGTGAATCGAAAAGTAAACATTTCCTACAGATTTCAGGCCGGCAGCTGTCCGGGGCCATTCCCATCTGCGCCCCCGCCCCCGCATGCCCTCGAGATCACGATGGGGCGTTAGCAGGCCAATCTCCCGATTCGACTTTCAATTCACCTCGAGAAACTCCGACCACTTGACGATTCACATTCCATTCACCTCGGACTCCGAGCCCTGGCGGGGTAGCGGCCCGGACTGGGCTGGGCTGGCGTGGAGAGGTGTGCTGGGGGTGTCTGCGGTGCGGTTTGGGTGTGCAAACAAAAGAGCAGAACAACAACAAGTGAATCAGACTGAACAGATCGAATCCAAAGCGAATCAAAGTTGTTTCGGAAAATAGATTCGATCATGCCTCGTCTACGAGCCTCTGATGTCTCAAGGCCAGGACTTGAGTTGGGCAGAACTTGATGTGGCTTCGTGGCCCAAGGAGCCTAGCAAAGGCAAGAGCTCGTTGCAGGGGCCTCGGGCGGTTGCTAGCTCACGCCCCCGACCATTTCAGACAGAGAGCTGCTTGCGAACGACTCCTGTTCATCAGACTTGAGTAGATGTTCTAGAAGTGACGGCTCTGAGAACCCAGGACACGGTCAGCATTCTTCAACAAGCAAGGCATAGATGTAGATGGTTGAACCGGGTTTGCGTGAACACACTGGCTGTGTCGCAGGTGGGACTGTGACCGGATTAAAGTCACTCGATGATGACAAAAAGCAGCAGATGACCGCGATCAGGCATCGGCTGCCTCCCCATGCTGCGCTTGCTGCATGAAACTTACACTTCAACTTCTCACGCTGGCCATAGCTATGCTGTGGCCCTTTACTTCGCTGCCCTGCCACAAATGACACACATTTCGCGAAAGCACTCCACATGTGTTAAGTTCTGGCTGTATCTGGCTGTTTCTGTTGTTTCAGGTGGGGGAGGGGTGTAATGGCCCTGAGAGTCAGAGCTCTACCGTGTGCACATCATGTAAACAGAGATCCATGCGAAAGTTCGGGCTTGGAGGCGGAAGCAGCTCGCATTGAAGCGACAACAGGCAGTTTGGGATTGTTGCATTGCTTTGCTAGAAAGCCAGACGATTCGAGCTCGGCGCTTCCATCGAAGTGACCAGGTGCCTTTTGGGCCTGGAAGTCTCACTGCAGCAGATCCTTTCTTCTGGCCGGGCCTTTCGTGGGAAGTCTCCTCGTGCTGCATCTGCTTCGAAAGGATAGTGCAAAGGGCGAGTTACCTCAAGACATGTGTGGGAAGGTTCTGCCATGGCGACTTCTACCTCTACACCTTCCCTGCCAATCAGGTGCCGCGCAGCCTGTTGCAAGATCCAACAGACTCGACCTCAGCTTGCCATCAGCTCGTTTTGGAGCCCTCCCGTTGCGACTGCTGCACTTGAGACGGTGACCTGCCGCTACGCCGACTTTGTGTCACGCAGTGGAACTCCAGTCAGGCCATCAGGTGCATCCAATGCACCTCAGCAAGCTCTCAGCCCCCCTTGTCGCAGGCGCTCCGATGCAGCCTTACCGGCAGAGGCTGAGGATGCGCCTCCAAGCAGCTGTCTTTGTCAGCCTACGGACATGACGGACCACTTGAGGAAACGCTGGGAGGCTGGGTCTTTCGTTGTGGTAATCTCAACCAGCTGTGCCTGAGCTTAAAGGCAAGTGTGGGATGTGCAAAAAGTTTGGCACCAACACCCCTTGTAGACCCAAGCTCGCCAATGATGCTCGATGCCGCAGAATGTATCCCAAGAAAACCAATGAATCCAGAAGTTAAAAAAAATTAAATCCTGATTTAATGGTTGGGTTTTGACCTACCTTGGACCCTCCAATGACACAATTAAATCTGGTTTTAATTCTTTTGCCGTGCATTCGACCGATAGACAATTAAATCCTGAGTTTATTGTCTGGCAGCTTCTCCTGCGAGACTTATGCCAGTTGGTACCTATTTGCCCCATTAAATCATGATTTAATGTGACATTTGGGCATCCTTATCCGTAAACACAAGGAATGTAGTTTGCACTTATCAGCCCCATTAAATCTTGACTTGATTTAGTCTGGTCTTTGGGCATCCTTATGCTGGTGCCTATCAGGTTCGAAGTCAGGGTCGCACCATTCGGTGGTTGTTTTCTTCGGCATCAGTTGTCATTGAAGATTATGTTGATTGTTGAACTAGGTTGTAGTGTTCTACTCACTTACGGCTAACTTACGGCGAATTCGCCTTCGGACTTTCCAGGCAAACATTTAAATCAGCATCTAATTGGGAATCTTAGGAGCCATATAAGCATCTGCCAGATGAACTCTTGGCACGCTCCCAGTACAAACTGCAGGCATTCTCGCATTGGACGTGTCGCTAGTGACACAGGAGTGCAGCACATCCGAGCATGCCTTCGGGTAACCGGGTAACTGTTGCGAGCTCTGCTGGAACATCCACTGCAGTCGACATGAAAGACAGGCGGCATAAGAAGGGGGACTTCGATGGAACTTTCGGTGGCCCTGACCCAGTGTGCAGTTCCCGCTGCTGCATCTCGTTCAGCAGGTTTCCCCGGATTCAGAATGATTCAGAGAGTTGGCTTCGCTTCCAGTCTGGGGCATAGGGAACACCATCTGCGGGCCTCAGCTGGAATACTGAGCAAGCTTCCTTTGCAGGTGCCTGTTGTGTTCCCAGATGAACAGCGCCTTCTGCTAGGCGCAATGCCTTCAGCATGATGGTGCGCACGTCGGTTTGGTGTACCTGAGTGTACCTGCTTCCAGGCGATTCTGGGTGGTTCCCAGGCGCTTTGGGTTTCCGCTTCGTCTTTGAGGCATCGACGGACAGTGTGGAGTGCGGCGCCCAGGCAGAGTCCACCAGTTGCATTCTGGCGCAGTCAGCGGGCACCAAGGCGCTATGTGCTTCTGGATACAATGCCACAGGCCACGGCCTCCTGCAGTCTGAAAAGCTATGGATCTGTGAGGAGTGGCATGTCCTAGCATGGCAGCGGGAAAAGATACGATAAACATGCAAGCAGGCCTCACTGGTGTACATGCAGCATGTGTGGCGACCAGACAAGACACTTGGCAGACGATCTTTCAGTCTGAGTCAAGTGCTTTGACGACTCCAGCGAGGAAGGCTTTGAAAGCCTACCCGAAGGAAGCCAGACGCACCTCGGTTTGCTTGCATCAACAGATTTCAGCTAAGTAGCGCCGCAGAAGTTAGCATTTGCAGCTGAGGCGAGCAAGGTGTCTACAAAGTCAGGCCTGCAAGGCCAGGATCGGTGAAGTAGGCGTGTGTGTTTGGTGCACCAGGAAAGATATCCACTCCAGTGAGTCCAGCGGGGAGGAGGACGATTCCGACGCATCAGACAGCAAGGACCATACGGAAGTCACTCAGAACCCAAACTAGCCCAGTCCTCATTGCGCATGTAGATGGATGTCTGTGTGTGTGGGTGTGCCCGCACATTCCCGACTCCGAGCCTCAAATGGCTGATGCCGGAGTCTAGCAGATTCAACAGCTCTTAATGCGAATCGTTCGGGGCCTGCCTCAGGATGAAGAGCCCTTCACAGCTGCCCTGCGCCGCAGGCAAAACCTCTGCGGAGGGTTCCAAGATGTTCCAAGCTGAAGTGTACAGCCACTGGGGGGGGTCTTGTGACACATTCCCGACACGAGTTTGGGAGCAGAAGAATGTTGAAGGTCTTTGCGCATCGCTAGGAGGGAGAAAGAGACAGAGCTTTTGTCTAAGTCGGTTGAATCCTGTCGCAGCATGCTTGCTGCTTGCAGTGGGCCTGCATGGCAGGCTGCCGTATTTCTACAAGCGGAAAAAGGGCACGAAGTGTCCCCAGAAGTCCCGCGCTTGGTCGCTCTTGCGAAAATGTGGCAGACCATGCGGTCTCTGTGTTTTAGCGTGTGTTTGTGCGGGCGTGAGTCTAACCGAAATGAGTGCGCAACTGGCGGAGAGTTGATGCTACAGCTCTTGCAGGGAGGATGGTGAAGAAGACAAAAGTGGTTGGGAAACGGTTGCCCGTGTCTCAGACAAGCAGAGGCAGCTGGGCCGTGTACAAAGCCGGGAGTTCTGGCTGTTGAAAGAGTGAGATCTGCCAAAGGACTACATGCTACCACCTCTGCCAGGAGGGTAGGCTGGGAACCGGTGCCGACAATTTCTTTGCGCTTCCTTCCTGCACCTGCCAGTACTAACACGTGGCTAAGCCAAACTTAGTCTCTGCGTGAACCCATTCGCACGGCTTGCAGGGTTGTGGCCATGGCAAGAAGGTCCAAGCCCAGAGCTCCATCATTGCAGGACTTCGCGTGACACTGGCATGAATGGATGTGTGGCCCGTTGGACACGCAAGTGCAGTTTCGCAAGCAGTAGTCATCCAGCAGCCCTTCTTGTGGTAAGTAGTCTTACAGCCTGAGTGCCCAACCTTCAAGCCAGGCATGCTGCAGAGACTGCACCGAGTAGTCGGCGATCGCGACGAACGTGAGAGGGATGTCGAAATCCGGCGCCCTGTCGGCAGCAGACCTCGTCGTCTCCGAGCCGGTAGACTTTTTTTAGTTATGTCGTCTCACCACGAGCAGTCTGTATCCATATGCTATCATTTACGTAGGATAGACCACTGAATTTCGCATTTGTTAGACTACAGTGATCAGAGTGCTGGCAGATAAGCACATCAGGTCATTTGTGCCGGGAAGTCAAAATTTGGCGATGTCGATTGTCGGTCAAGCCGAAGGGAGGCAAAGCCACAGTGTGCAGTCTGCCGGAGTGCTTCGCCGTCCGTCCCATCAACTTTTTCTGGACACTGGTTCAGCTTGCACAGCGACGTAGCCTCGGGTTTGCGGAGATGGAAGAGGAATCAGAAGTCTCCACCATGTGCATTGCCAGGATGTCAGCGGCCAACTCCGTAGGACCGTAGGAGATGCATATCTGCCCAACCCGAGCACTGCACACCATGGAGGGGTATGACAGCTGCCGGACGCGTCACCAAGTCGGAAAACGATAGGCCTTTGCGTACCAATTTAGGCAAGCTTGGCATCATTGAATGTTTGAAGTTCCTGTGCTGGCACATGGCGCGAGAAGCGCAGTGCCGTCCAGAAGAAGAATGGAGCCGGGATCTAAGCTCTGATTCTTCATGCCGTGGCGAGAAACTGAGCAACAGGAATTGAAGCCTGTGCCCGTGTTTTTCTCGAGGAGTTGACGATGAAATACCGACAGAAAGATCAGAAAGCAGGCGCCGTTGTGCCTTGCGACTACCACCCGAACGAAAGCCATTGGCCTGCTAGCCCTGTTCGACTTAGTCATAGACTTCAGGGTGGTGCAACTGACGCCGTCCAGCGAGGCTGACTTTGCCTGTTCTGGAGTGTGCCAGTGTGGATGAGAGTCTCGATGCTGCCACGCAGTGGGAGTGCAGGCCGTTGCCCTTGTAAACCCCGCTCGTGCGGATGAATGTGCGGATCGAGATATGGCTCGGGATGACACAGAAATTGACGCGGCCCCCAGTGACGGCCAGGGTCCCGATTGCTACAGTCGCAGCACCACCGTTGGATTTTCGTTGTGCTCAATGCCTGTGAGGCTACGTTTGTCCCAGCTGCCCATTTCCATGGTACGCCCTGCGTCTGGCTCAGCTGTTCAACTCCTAGGTGCTCATCGGCTTGACATACATAGGCTTTTTAGATTCGATAAGACTTCTCCTCGTCCTGCCACAAAGTTGCTGTCGACAGCCCGTGAATACAAGCGAAGGCGCTATCCTGGGGAGGTGTCGAGACAGCACCGCCGAGGTGTGATCAGATTAGCAGTATTGGCTTCAGGAATCTCGCTGCAGCTGTGTCAGGGCGGAGGCTCTTCGACCCATCAAGTGGTCAGCCAGGGCCTCTGCATAGTGGTACGATGAATGGTGACAGGCATTGGCCAGCCAGTTGGATGGCACAAAATCATCTACCATCTCAGCACCTACATGGATTGGAGTTGTTGGGTTGAGCCTGAGCGAATTCTTGCAGAGCATCGCTCGCATTTCGCCAGAGGCCCAAATTCGCAGACAAGGTGTTGAAAGGCCGATGCTTTTCGTGCAGCAAGCTGCCTACTGGTGCATGCTCCTGGTTTGGCTCTCCTGGTTCAGGCATTATGGAGCAGGTCCTCTCTCGTGGCTCGGCCTTTACAGCCAGTGTTCGCCGCGCTTTACCGGGGATGAAAACCTTTGGGTTGTACTCGTATCAAAAGAAAGGTGACGAAACTGTCAGAAAATCTTTTTCACCAGGGAGGTAAGCCATGCTAGAGGTGTGTTGTCGACGTCGTTGATACAGGCATCGTAGCAGCTGCAGGAGGAGGGGGAGTAGCAGTAGCAGCAGCAGCTGTAG